AGATTGCGGCACCACTTTCTACAATCATCAATTGGGAGCGAGAAATGGAATTTTGGTGTCCCGACTTTTACGTCGTCACCTATGTTGGAGACAAAGATTCTCGAATGGTCAGTTTCATTTTATTCAAATGTTTCATAAACTTTTCTTTTAGGTCATTCGCGAACACGAATTCTCATTTATGGAAGGGGCTGTGAGGGTAGCGATTTACTTCAGTTATTAGCTAAACGTTTTTTAGACTGGAGTGAAGGCTAGTCGAATCAAAACAGAGCAGGGAATCAAATTCCATGTGCTTCTCACATCATATGAATTGATCAACATCGATAAGGTTGTCTATTTTTCATGCAAGTTAATCACTTTATTAGGCCATTCTTTCGTCTATTGAATGGGGAGCATTGGTGGTCGACGAGGCACACCGTCTAAAGAACAACCAGTCCACTTTCTTCAAAACGCTACGAGAATTCAGGGTATCAATTTACATATTCTGCTATTACTAATTCTAATTATTTTAGATTGGCTATCGTCTTTTGCTTACCGGAACACCACTACAAAACAATTTGGAGGAACTGTTTCATCTTCTCAACTTTTTGTCTGCTGATCGCTTCTAGTTAGCAACTGTTTTGGTGACGTTTAACAATTTTCTTTAGTGATTTGGAATCATTTACTCAAGAGTTTGCCGAAATCTCCAAAGAAGACCAAATCCAGAAGTTGCATGCTCTTCTCGGACCCCACATGCTTCGACGACTCAAAGCTGATGTACTTGCGGGAATGCCTAGCAAAAGTGAACTTATTGTTCGAGTCGAACTTGCTTCCATGCAAAAGTATGTTTCAATATGAACTTTAATTACAAAGAAATTTTAGGAAATACTACAAAGCTATTCTTACACGGAACTTCGAAGCGCTTTCCGTAAAGAGTGGCGGATCTCAGATGTCTCTTCTCAATATTCTAATGGAGTTGAAAAAATGCTGCAATCATCCATACCTTTTTCCTAAGGTGCGTTAAGTTATTTTATCGCTACATCTCAATTTAGGCCAGTATCGAAGCTCCAAAGCTTAAAAACGGCATGTATGAAGGTGCGGCTTTGATCAAATCATCAGGAAAGTTGGTTCTTTTACAAAAGATGCTCAGAAAGTTGAAAGATGGCGGTCATCGCGTCTTGATCTTTTCACAGGTACGAGGAAAGCTTCAATGAATAAGTAACTATGTTCACGTTTAGATGACTCGGATGTTGGATGTTCTAGAAGATTTTTGCGAGAATGAAGTGTACAAATATGAACGAATCGATGGCTCTATCACAGGACAACAACGACAAGATGCTATCGATCGATTCAATGGTATATAACTGATATCAAAAAAGTTTATTTTTGTGATTAGCTCCTGGTGCTCTCCAATTTGTTTTCCTTCTTTCAACACGTGCTGGAGGTCTTGGAATTAATTTGGCCACCGCGGACACTGTTATCATTTATGATTCGGACTGGAATCCGCATAATGATATCCAGGTATGTCGGCAAATAGCTTTGCATAGTCAACTTTAATTTAGGCCTTTTCTCGAGCGCATCGTATTGGCCAACAGAACAAAGTGATGATCTATGTACGTGATCTATGAACAATTGCTTAATAACCCATAATTTTCAGCGTTTTGTCACCAGAAACTCTGTTGAAGAACGTGTCACTACAGTAGCGAAAAAGAAGATGCTTCTGACTCACTTGGTAATTAATCAGCCACACGCAGTATTTGCAACCATTATTAGGTTGTTCGTGCTGGAATCGGTCAGAAAGGACCAGGAATGAGCAAGAACGAGTTAGATGATGTGCTTCGATGGGGAACAGAAGAACTCTTCAAGGATGATGGAGAAGAAGGCGGTGCAGAAGGAGGGGAGAAGAAGCCGGGAGATAACGAAATTGTCTGGACCGATGAAGCTGTAGAAATGCTGCTTGATAGGTGCAATGATTGTATGGGTTTTTTAAAAATATATATTTAGAACTCGAGGAGATGAAGAAAAGAAGGAAAAAGAGAAAGAGGGCGAAAAGAAAGAACATTGGACCAACGAATATCTTTCTTCATTCAAGGTATATACTCCTGCGTTTTTCACCGTAAACGCTGTTTTAGGTTGCTACCTACACGACAAAAGAAGCCGAAGAGGAGGAGGAAGAGCCAGATGATACAGAAGTCATTAAGGTAGAAGCATATTCTTGCAATTTTGTGCTAAATTATGAAATTTAGCAAGAAGGTGGAGAAGAAGACCCCGATTACTGGGAGAAACTGTTGCGGCATCACTTCGAGCAAGAACAAGAAACGGAAGCGCAAAAACTTGGCAAAGGAAAGCGTATCCGCAAGCAAGTCAACTACGCAGCCGAGAATATGGGCGCTGATTGGAATAAGGTAGTTTCATTTAAATGCTAGACCTTTTATGAATTTACAGAAACAACAAAATGACGACGAGGATTTTGTTGCGTACTCTGGCGAATCCGGGCACTCTGACGGAGAAGGCACCGATGGAGAATTTGAGGGAGACCGAAAACGAAAGGAGCGTGATGGCGAAAAATTGCCTCCATTGCTGGCTAAAGTTAGTGGATTTTTGAGTGCAATAGTTAGTGGCGTTTAGGTTAATGGTCAATTGGAAGTGCTTGGATTTAATCCAAGACAACGACGGGCTTATTACAATGGTATCATGCGATGGGGCATGCCTCCTCAGGATTCGCATGTCAGTCAATGGCTGGTGAGTATAAGAAGTTGCTTTAAATAAAAACTTTTTTATAGGTTCGCGACTTGAAGGGGAAGTCTGAGCGTGCTTTCCGGGCGTACACCTCTTTGTTTATGCGCCATCTTTGTGAGCCTGGTGCAGAAAATCAAGATTCGTTCAATGATGGTGTCCCGCGTGAAGGTTGGATAGAATTTGAGAATTTTCAAAACTTTATACTTTAGGAATGAAGCGTCATGATGGTGAGTAAATTGGATGCTTGGCGGTATTACTGCCGTATTGCGTGTGACATTCTTTGTTTTATTTTTATAAACAAACTAATTTCATTTTAGTTTTGAGTCGCATTGGAATCATGAGCCTCATTCGCAGAAAAGTGCAAGAATTTGAGGCGGTATATTAGTTTTTCAATAAAATTATTACTTTTGTTTAGTTTAACGGCGATTGGTCAATTCCTGAATTAAGAGATCTCATTTTGGCCACTGCTGGAGCAACAGAGGTTTGTTGTTTTTATTTTTTAAATAAGCACTAAGTTTTAGAATAACAGTGAAGTGAACAGCCGAGAAGCGAGCACAGCTCCTCCGGACGACGAGAAAAGTCAATCAGCTCCTCCCAAAGAAGAAGTGGTTGAAAATGGTGAGAAACCGGAAGAAAATGGGAATGTCGAAAAGATGGACACTTCGAAAGCCGACACTTCGAAAGCGGACATCAAAGACCCAATTCGACAATTGGCAACCGATCAAACAAAGCAAAATCGCCCTCCATTCAAATTCAATATTGCTGATGGAGGCTTCACCGAGCTTCATACTCTATGGATCAACGAAGTTTATAAATTTTTTTTGTTGCTTATACGATTTTCTTTCAGGAAAAGGCAGCAGTTCCTGGAAACGAATTCGAAATTTGGCATCGACGACATGACTATTGGTTGCTATCTGGAATTGTCCTTTACGGCTATGGAAGATATCAGGACATTCAAGCTGGTTAGTGATAAATAAACAAATATTTTATATTTTATTTCTAGACACTCGCTTCGGTATCATAAATGAACCTTTCAAGATGGAACTGGGCAAAAGCAACTTTTCTGAGATAAAGAACAAATTTTTGCAGAGACGCTTCAAGGTATTGGGTTATTTTTTTATTTTTAATTATGCTTTTTTTAGTTACTTGAGCAAGCCCTTATCATCGAAGAACAATTACGTCGAGCTGCACATTTAAATATCATAAATCAACCCACAAACGACGGAACTGAACAACTGGCGCAACGGTGGGTGTTTGTAGTTTGTACTGGAACTTATTTGTTGTAAGTTTTTCTATCAACTCTGTTTTAGATTTGCTGATATTGAAAATCTTGCTGATTCAAATGCCACTATTGCCAGGGAATCGTCTGGCGGAAACAAAAATGCCAACGTCATATTGCACAAGACACTCACCCAACTCGAAGAACTTCTGTCTGATATGAAGGTGGCAATATAGGCCGCAAATAGTGACAACTCTTATTTAGGCTGATGTTTCACGGTTACCAGCTACTCTTGCTCGTCTACGACCGGTGACGAATAGGCTTGGTATGACGGAAAGAGCGTACGTAGCTATCTTAATTTTGTAATTGTAACTTGACATTTAGTATCCTTCAGCGATTGACCACAAAGGATCTGGAAGCTGTAGCTGGTAAAAGTCCTTTGCCTCAACCCGGACCGTTTGTGACACCAACGATCGGGCAACAACTTTCGGGAATACAACCAAAGTTTGCCGCTCTCCATGGAAAGGTAGTCTAATTAAAAGAAGCATGTATGGAATCATTTATAGGATGAGAAGGAAAGTGAGGAAACAAAGGAGACAAATCCGGATCAAGAAGGCAAGGAGAATGGTGCCGGCAATTTACCCGAGCAAAACGAAGCAACAGTGGAGAAAATGGATGTTGAACAAGAGAAGCAAGCGGAGGAAGTCGAGGAAACGAAACCCGATGTCGAAAAGGCGCCAGCAAAAGAGCCAGCCGCCCAGGACGAACCTATGGACTTTTCGGTTAATAAGGAATAATTTATTCGTTTGAATTTTGAAATTGATACTATTTTCTGTATGACTTGAATGATATTTATTGATTGGTTACCATCGTATTATTTTGGTGTTCGGTAAACTTTGTTGTGATTACTGAGTTTGTCATTGTCCAGCATAAATTTTCTAAATTTGAACATAAGCACGATTAAAAAGTGCAAAGGCCTTATGAACTACCTGAAAACATTTCTGCAGCTTTCAACTTTGAAATCCCACTGGTTGTACACTGACAGTTAAGTTTCCAGGTCGATTAAATGGAAGCTATACCTTTGGGTGGATTGATAGTTATCAGAGGTAGGGTACTTAAATTGCTTTTTTTTCAGTCGATATTTTAGGACTTGACGATGGAAGTGATTCAGATTTGGTGCGTTATTTAGCCTCGAAAGGTACAGAAGCCTTTGAGACTACGCCATGTGAAGATTTAGCAAGATTTTCGAGAAAACCCAAGTAAATTATATTCATTCATAACTTGTATGATTGTTTAGTTGGTCTCTAGTTCCTTTCATCAACACGACACCACTGGGATCGATTTTAGCGTCTTGTACCTCAGTCTCGTCAAAGCGACTTCTATTTTTTAATTGGATAGAGCTTATGGTTTTAGAATATGGACTAGATTTAACACTGAGGAATCTCAGCAAGTTTAAAGGTGTCTTTATTATTGTAGTTGTTTAATTGCTTATTTATGTTTTAGAATCGATTTGTATATGTTTATTGGTCTTGCCTGACGTGGAGAAGATTATGGAATGGAATCGCGTTGCTTCAGTAGCTGATGCCACAATAGAGTTGAGACGAGAAGATACAAATTTGATTGCAAACATTACCAGATGGGAAAGAAACGGAAAAGTCAATAAGCGGGTTGGTCTTACGAGATTTTTTCAAGTATATAAATCCAAAATTACATCAAACCAGCTAAACAGTTATGTTTATTCTAATTCAGGAAGAAATCATCTCCGTGCAGAGTGAACCTTTTCGACTAGAATTCCGAAAATATCAAGCATCGCTTTTGGAAACGGTAGCATTCAATTTTTGACTTAAAAAAATTTGTGTATTAGGTGGAGTCCGCACCTGAACCATCGCTCAGTACATCGTTTGATATTGGACTTAATCTTAAAAGATCGGAAAGGTAAACAATACTTTCAACTTAGCATCAATGTTTCTAGGGCTGCTAAAGAATCGCTTGAGCTTCCTTTTACAAAAATGCAAAACGAGCAAGGTGAGACTTACATTTTCTTTTGCATGAGTTATGACATTTTAAGGTTTGGTCGATATTCGTATGGGCTCTGGGAGAAAAGTTCGAGCTGGTGGCCGAGTCATTTATACTCCCGATCAAGACGATGATCTTGATGATAGTGATCCTGATGATGACTTGAATCTTTAAAATTGAAGAATTTCTTGTTACTGTTTTTTGTTGCACTCGTTGTTGTTTTATTTTATTTTGCGTCCAAAACTTCAATAAAATGTTTATTAAAATACTGACTTTTAGTGTGTTATGAACAACTCTTATATTTACTTTTTGGTGCTAGCTTGGATTTATTTCATTCAGAGATTTGCAGGTGCCATGCTGCGCTGTGGTAGAAGTATCAGTCAACGACTGATATCGACCAGTCAGCTATCTGCCGGTCAAAAGGTTTGTCAATTTCTGGTCGTCAATCAATTTATTTTGTTAAATGTTAGTAAAATGAACTATGTGTTGAATGCAAAGTGGTTTTAGTTGAGACCGATAGAACTTTAAAAAAAACGTGGATAAAGTTCTTATGGAGCTTATTTTTAGAAAACGGAAACCCTTCCGACTCCCGAAGAAGCTGGTTGGGCCTTTAATCACGTCGAGAAAAAGAAAGGTCTCTACAAACCAAAGCACAATATCGAAGAGCAGATTTCCTATATGAAATCTAAAGGTAAATATCCTTTTTTAATACGATTTAGTTTAATTTTAGCTTACTTGGATGCTTATCAAGGATTACCGGTCCATCGGTCGTACAAAAGAAATTTCAAAGTTTGTTTATAGTTTGGCGTTTGATGATTAAATCAAATTCAGGGTCAATACATGCTTCAACCGCCACCAAGATTGTTTTGCATTGACAAACATGGACGATTCAATGTAAATCACGCTTGCCCCATTTGCAGGTAAATGCAATTTTTTTCAACAGCTTTATTTGAAATTCAGAGACGAATATTTATTTTTCGACTTCAGAAATCCGGGACTAATACTACAATTTTTGCAAGGTTATCTTATTTTTCTTTTACTGTCTTCATTTTTACTTTTAGATGGCACTGTGCAACCACTAGATATTCTAAAAACTGGGCTCTGTCGAGAACAATACAACCTTCTTTCGGTATTCTGAAGTTATAATAGACGATGATTTTTATTATTTTCAGGCACAACTATTGAAAGCTAAGGAACACGGAAAAATAACATTTGGAGTAGAATTTAGGTAGAAAGTATATCTTTTTTCGTATTTAGTTTATCTTTTAGAAATTTCGACTATCGTCAATACTATCCATGGTGGACTGAAGAACCTTCTCGCCAGGTATTTTTAAGTATAAAATTTCTTTATATTTTGTATAGGTCTCACGCGGTGGTCTAACTCTACCCGACATTCATCCAGATCCCCTAATTGAGTTTGATGCCTTCAAGCCTGAGGTAGGTAGAAACGAGTTTATTTCTAGTCTGAACTTGACTCTTTTTTCAAGAGCATTTTTGGAAAAAAATTAAAAACTTAAACCAATAAGATGTAATCATTCTTTTTTTGTTAAATTTCTTAAATTTAGACCAAGACGTGGTGGGATCAGTACTGGTTGCGACATGACAAATTTGCAAAGAAAGGAAAATAACAAGTTGTAGCAGATATTCTTAATTTTGTTTTCATTTTTGTTGTTTGTGATTAAATATACAAATTTTTATCGAATCTTCTTTTCAATATATAGGGCACGAAAAGCTAAACGGACGGCTATTTCATGGATGAAAACGAAAAGCATGGAAATCCTCCATGAGAGATGGCCCAACATGAAAGAAAGAAGCTGAAAAAAGTGGAGACTCTGAGAAACGGAAAATCGCTTTGTCTGGGGCTTTTTCTAAGTTCAATCCTTACGACTGGCATAATTTGTACGTTTTCTGAAAAAATTTGCATGCGCAAAAACTATGGGTTTTTTTTGTTTAGTTAAATTTAGATTGTAATATTTAATTTGTTTATGGTGTGTTAAATTTGCATTTAATTTCAACTCGAGAGAATAGCGCAACAAAATTTTATTTGCGATTGAATGATTTCTTCGATTCGATTGGTTTTCAATTTTAACAGGGCGTTCAGCCAATGTAAGTTTTTTTTGTAAAAGTGCTTAGCATTCTGTTAAAAGGTTGAGTTTTATTTTAGCTCAGCAGTCAGTGACGGATTAGTCTCACAAATTTGTGTCTAATCGAGACCCAAGGTGGTACTCGGTTGGTACCACCCCAAGCACCCCCAACAGCTGACTGTCACCCACCAAACAAACAACCCCACTCTCGGTCAATGTTTTCGCACAGCTTTTGCTGAATTTGGCTATTTTTATCATCACAATTGTTTAATTGTAAAACGCTTGATAACGCTAATATAAAAAAATCCCCTTTGTTTTCATCAAAATATTCGCGGGAAGAAATATAAACAATTTTGGGCCAGACTGTGCTATCTTTGCTCATGTAACTTTTCCAAGACCAATAAGGTTTCAGCGATTCACCCCGCAAATTCGGAGAGAGGATGAGTCATCCCCGAATCGTGCCTAATCGCAACGCGATCTTTCACATACACTCCAAGGAGAAAGGGGCCGGAAAAGGAGTTGTAAAAATTTTTTGGCTCTTGCACTTTCATCGCCAAATGGCAGCTGGGGAGAAGCTTCGGGTCTGCCCATATTTGGTCTAGAAGACAGCCCTTTTCTGGTAATTGAGAAATTAGCTTTCCCTGTCTATTAGCCTTTTGAAATTTTGATCATTTGAGCTTGCTCTACCAAGCAATTTTTCTTTGAAGCATCTTTATATTGAGATTTTGCCAATGCCTGTATCGGAAAGTTCGGCTTCAAAACCGAAACCATTTTGTGGTTTGAAATCGAAGCTTCAATATGTATCTCAATGACAGTATCTTAATCTCAATCTTAATTCAATTTAGAAAAATTTCCGAATAATTCCCACCATTTGCCTCTATTGAAAATGATTCTGCCATTTTAAATTGCCTTTTCTGGATTATTGCACAAATTCATCTCAAATTTTCTCGAATTAACGCCAACGTTTATTATTCGTTTATTATTCGTTTTGCCTTGCAACGTTTAGTATTCGCTGTAATTGAACGCACGCACCTCATCGATTACCTCTTATTTTCACCTACTAATGAGAACAATGCTACACAGCTTCACTCCTCTCGCTGCACCCTTTCTCTCGACCTTTGTTTTCTTTCGAATCGCTATGAGGTGACCCCGTCCGAACAGAGAGATTTTAAGACAAGATTGCCGTCGAAATTCCCTCACTCCTCAACCTCACGCCACGCTTTTTCATGTATAAACCCGTGATTTTGCGAAAATAATCTGACTTCTTTTCCGCGAACTTGTTCCGGCTGATCTTTATTTTCTAGACAGATTGCTATTAAAATTGAAATCGAATTCGAATTCGAATTCGATGGTTTTCAACGTTTTTGATTTAGCGGCTCAACGGATGGGCCCGAGGCTTCAGCACGCATCTCAAGAAAATGTCGCCTGGCCACTGCCCGAGGTGGAAAAGCCGGTAGTTTTTACTTTCTTTCCCTGTGTAAATACATGAAGATACAGATTTTAAAGTTTAATGACCGAATTTTCAATCTATTTATCAAAATCTTTTTAGGTACGATGGATCTCATGTGTGGTGCACGACTCGATTCCACTTTTTCACCCCCTCGAGCACCTCGTCGACAGTGCCGAATTTCAGCGTTTAAGGCGACTCAAACAGGTATGCCCTAGTTCATATGTGTAATTTTTTTCCAGCTCTACTACGTATTTTCGAAAAAACATTCGTTTTAGGTTGGAATGGCTAACTACGTGTACCCATCGGCCGAGCACTCGCGTTTCACGCACAGCCTTGGGTAGCGTTTTTTGAGCGCTTGAATGCTTGAAAGTGAACGAATTCTGGCTAAATTGAACGTGACGGTCCAAAAGGTCAAAATTAAAAAATTTTTGTCTTTTCTTGTGCATAACTAGGCATAGTAAAGCATAAAAACTGGTTTTGAATGCATTTTGGATCTAGACCGTAAAATACAATTTAGCCCGAATTCTAATTCTTTATCTTTTTTATAAAGTCGTAAAATAGGTCGTAATCACGTTTTCACTTTTTTTCTGCTGGAGCTGCAAATTAAATATCCCATTGAAAATGATGCCGTGTTGTTTAGTTGTTATCATTTGGCCTTCGAATTTGTGTCGGCATTGAGGGAATCCGATCCATCACTTAGCATCACTTCGGAAGATATGTTGTGTGTTTCGATTGCAGCTCTCTGTCATGATATCGGTAACTCTTTTATTTATATTTTAGGCTGTAAAACGTTTGGTTTTTAAAAATTGGTTTATCTCTAATATAAAGCAAAAGCATTATCATGTTTAGGACATGGCCCGTTCAGTCATATGTTCGACAATGAATTGCTAAAAGAAAAGAACCCAAAATCGACGTGGACAGTAAGTACTTCAAAAGAAATTCATGTTATTTTATGTGCATTTAGCATGAAATGGGATCCGGAAAACTGATTGGTCGTCTTTTCTCGAAGAAATCTATTAGGGTATTTGTGCATCTATTTTTTTTGTCATTGTTTTCACATTTAGGAAGCCTTCTTGCCGTTTTTGGGAAGTGGAGCTCATTTTGAGCGGAATATTCAATTTATCAAAGAACTCATTCATCCAACGCAAAAAGTGGGTTTTTAAGCAATTGATCTGAAACTTAAAAAGTAGGTGGACAAGAAAGGCAAATGGATTTTGGAGGGCCGCGACAGCAACAAATCCTATCTCTACGATATCGGTATGCTTAAAATGTTACTGATAAATTTAAAATTGATTGGTTATATTTACTTGTCCATGTTTATCTAATTGATTTAGTTTCCAATGAAGAAGACGGTCATGATGTTGACAAGTACGACTACTTGCTGCGAGATGCACTCCTTTGTCACGTTGATATCACTTTTGGACAAGTAAGTTTATGGTTACCCAGATTGTTTCTTTCTATTAAAAACAACGTGTGATAATCGGCAAATGTAAAAAAAATTTCCTTCTATTTAGGCCAGTCTTCGTCGTTTGCGCTCGAACATGCGTGTTTTGATGGATGAAAAGAAAGGGTATAGACGAATTGCCTATGCGAAGAAGGTTTGTTTTTTTGGAAATTGAAATTTTGAATTTAATTAC